TTGTATCTAGACAGGAAAGAACTGCCATCTAAAAATTCTAAATTATATTATTAATGATTATACATTAATCCTAAATTATTAAATATCTTAAGACAATTGACTTGAAATCTTACATGTGGTTAGATCCCTGTAGCATGTTCAGTAGGTGGCAAAAGCCTTAGGAATACACATTTGTGATGGGGATTCTAATAAAAAAAATTGCTCATGCTTAATGTTGTTGTCGTTAGTCGCGAAGTCGTGTCCGACCCATCGCGACCCCATGGACAACATTCCTCCAGGCCCTCCTGTCCTCCACCATCTCCCGGAGTCCACCTAAGCTCACACCAACTGCCTCAGTGACTCCATCTAGCCACCTCATCCTCTGCCGTCCCCTTCTTATTTTGCCATCTATTGTTCAAAAGCAAGGCAAAAGGAGAAGGGGACGGCAGAGGATGAGGTGGCTAGATGGAGTCACTGGGGCAGTGGGTGTGGGCTTGGATGGACTCCGAGGGACGATGGAGGACAGGAGAGCCTGGAGGAATGTTGTCCATGGGGTCACGATGGGTCTGCAACAACTTTGTGACTAAACAACATAAACAATGTAAAGCATTTATCACTTCAGTCATGGCTCATCTTGACTTTACTGAATACAGAATGAGCCAAATGAACACTGTTGTATAAACTTTCTGCTTTTGTTTTGTTTTGTTTACATTATTATTACTGCTGGAAAAATATCTTTGTGCACTGTGCGGGTGGTTTCACTGATTGCACTTGAAGCACAGCAAGATGTGATAGATCATTTCTCACTTGCCTGGGAAGTGTGGAAATGCCATCCCTGGCTTGTGAGAACTGATAATGGCAACACCCTTAAGTGTATTATTGAGTGGCCTGTAGGAATACATGGTTGGGGGAGTATGTGGTGCTCAAGGTGTTATTTGACTGCAACTCTCATCATATCTTACCATTGAGTATGCTGGCTAGGTAAAATGGGAGTTGGAGTTCTGCAATAATTAGAGGGCCGTTCCTAATATAAGCTATTGAAATATTCATTTCACATGTGATTGTACATTCTCTCATTTGCACGCTGTGGTTTTCTTTGCCATAGTATAGCGTAGCAAGCATTGTTGGTTCAGTTCTACCTCCCCCTGCAAACAATTTTTCACTTTTTGACTCCTACCCCATTGCTAAAAATATGGGAGGAGTGGTTCCAAGGAATGTGAAATGTTTGCAAAACTTGACTAGCACCGATTATATTATGTTTTAGAGTGCATTTTGAAAGTCATATGCTGCTCTGCCACTTCTGCGATATCTAATTTGAGAGTTCTTGAGTGAACTGTTAGGAGCTGCTGTATAACAAGCAGTATTGTTCTTTCCTGTATCTTGTGACATGCTAGCCTTTTCAAAATACCCTACCCTCCAAGACGAAGAATTATTTATTATTAAGTCCTTTGCAATAGTAGTGGTCATGATGACATGGATATGATAAGTTTGCTGACCTTTTAGATCTCAACGGAACTTCTTTCACTGGAAGAAAGTTCTGTGCAACCTCACAGTAACTTGAATAGAATAGCTTCATGGTGCCTTTAACAGCTGGCTGTAGTGATTACTCAACCTCCTTACTTCTCTTAAGAAAGATGGATAAACCATTGTACTGACAAGGTTGGCAAAGGTCTCATGATTTGGCTTTTCTTAGCTAGTATGGGCATAGCTCCAGAAAGCAAGTTGTGGCATGAATGCCTTCAGGCATCTTGTTTGCATCTTTGTGTATTTGCCATAGCATCCTTCTTTACTACCTAGTAAATAACACAAAGGAGTCAGTTAATGGAACCTACAGTTAGTTTAGATTGAAGCAGCAGATGCCATAGATCAACTCTACTATCTAATACAGTAGCTAATTTTATTTCTTGGTTACCAGAATCTGGATTAAATGATCTCCAAATATCTCTAGGACACTTGAATATAATTAATGGATATTTGTTCTATCCAAAAGTAACAGAGATTCCCCATCTGATTACAGTGTGCACAACAAACGTTTTTCTGCATGTAAGTGTGTACTGCCCTCTAAACGAAATCAGAGACAAACTTTTGTAAACATTTCATTAACTCTGACAAATGCTTAATGTGGTTCTGATCATTGTTCTTGAAAAAGCAGCTCAGCCAGGAAGGGAATAGCTATTTTCACTTCTGAACTGTTTATACACAGAACATTACTAATACAGGTTCCTCTCCAAATATGGTGGATGCTTCTGTCCACCATATTTCTGATGTTTGCTTCATCTCAAGGAAGTAGTGTATTATACTAGGTCAGGGGTCCTCAAACTTTTTCAACAGGGGGCCAGTTGACAGGTGCCGGTGGTGCGTGCAGGCTGCCAAGGTGGTGCCAGTGGGGGGCCGGAGAGGGGGGGTGCACGTGCACACGAGGCAAGGAGGGTGGGGGGCACACAGGGCAAGGCCCCGGCTTGCTTGTGAGATCGTTTTCTTCAAGCGAGTCCAAAACAACCTCCTTGCGAACAAGCTGCTGCCGGGGTGCGCACGGCAAGGTGCCAGCTTGCTCGCGAGGAGATTGTTTCCTCTGAGTGAATCCAAAATGACCTCGTGTACAGTGAGTGCAGAACCTCTGGGGTGGGTGGGTTAAATGGGGATGGCAGGCCGGATCCGGCCTGCGGGCCTTAGTTTGAGGACCCATGCCTTAGGTAATAACCCACAGAATTTTGTTGTGCGTAATGCCTTTCTATTTCTTATCTCCCTTTAGAGCAGTATGCACTTAATCAAAACACTGCCTTGAGGTAGGTTTATTTATTTCAATCTTTTATATCCCGTCCACCACTTTGATGTATCAGTACGGCTTACAACAAAGAACAATAAAATAGCAGAACAACACAGCATCCAGTAATGAAGATAAAAACTCCAGTTAAAACAAACTAAACATTAAAATAGTGGAAAAATAAAAAAACTTTCACCTGACACCGAAAAGAATAAAGTGTCAGGATCATAGAATAGTAGAGTTGGAAGGGGCTATGAAGGCCCAGTCCCCTGTAGTTGCAGGGCACCAGGTTACATCATCCCACTCACATGGCTGTCCAGTTTCTTTTTGAAAGTTTCTAGTGTGGAAGCGCCCACAACCTCTCTATGCAGCTGGTTCCACTGTCGTGGATTATGAAGCTTCAGTCAAGACAAAATGTCAGTTATGCTATTTGGAATTGCCAACCAACTTCAGCTTATCTAAAGCAGGTGCTTTGATCTAAAAGTTAGTGGCAATTGAAGCAGTGTTTTATTTTTCACAGGATACATTCAAGTTGTATGTAAAACTAGTTGAAATATAAATCATTGTGAATAAGAGCTAAAAATAGTCATTTTGAACAGGACGCTTCTTTTTTCTGGCTCAGTATTCTGGAAAGCTGCAAGCATTGTATGTGCGTTCTGCGTTTGTTCTCATTGGGATGCCGGAACTAGGGAGAATCCCTTTAAATGCTCAGGCTAGACAGGATCTGTGACTGGCAGAAATCTAGACCTGAGCCAAGCATCTTATTCATCCCGTTTACCTATATAAAGTTAGTAAATTGAGGGGGCGCACTTGGAAAACTCTCAGAGTACCAGTCTTTCTTAAGGAGAAAACAGTAATGAGTTATTTCAGTTACTACTTATTTATTTGCAAACCAGTGCTGCAAGGGGCTTGTCTGGATGAAGTTTTAACAGTGCAATTGGATATTAATTAAATAAGTCAGGGCAGGCTCAAAAGAAACACTTTGACAAAGCTTTTCTAGAACTGGCAATTGCCCTTTAGCAAAGAGAGCAGTGTAGAAATCTAGGTGTAGAGCTTAATGTGCACTTAAAGCATTGCGAGTTGAAAAGTATAATTTCCTTTGAATACTTGAAAGGGGAAAACATAGTTTTTATCATCTGAACAAATCTGCTTAGGTGATGCAATGATGGTGAATACTGCTGTGAATTTATTCCAAAAGATTCATGTGCTCAAGTGGGTGGAGTGAAGACAGATGTGAGAAACACTAAAAAATTAATGTAGAATTACTGGTGTTTATTTAATTGTAATTTAATAATCTGTTTATTTAATTAAGTCATTAGGTTGAGAATATTGATCTGAATTTCAAAATTATTTCATACTTTTTTGCCTTTGGTTGTTAATTATATTATTTGCAAACTTTCAAAAGTGGTGCTTCTGTATTTTAGAAATCACCAATTCTTTCTACTAGCTGTAGATGCCATACATTGTACATGTTAGACTGTATCATGCACTTCCCCAAATTGCAATGTGGGTATTCATGCATTCCCAATGTCCCAATGTGGAAGACAAAGAAGAAAAGTTAGTTTGGTTGTTGTGCTTGCTTGCTTGCTTTTTCTGGATTTGTTAATGAATTATATTCTACATAAGATGGTACTTTAATAATGGCAAAGAATGGCAAAAGATATATGTGTTTCAGTAGAAGTAAGCTATCTAAGAAATACTCAGGACACATTTTAGCTTTTAGTAATAGGCCTACATATTTATGTTTTAGGCCTACATATTTACGTAAGGCACAGGGAGTTAAATTATTTTTCATATACCCTCAGGCACTAACATTACTAATTTACCTTGGTGCTGAAAAAAACAAGCAGTCTATTTTGTTAAGATATTAGGTTTAAAGCTTGGGGATAAAATACAAACATTATGAAGTAATTACCATACATTTTCTAAAGCTGATGACATTGAACAGTTAGAGGAGCAGCTTAGTTCTACTCTGCAATCATTTATTGACTGATCCTTTTAAATAGTGAGAATATTTTATTTTTTTCACACTTTTGTTGGTCTTCTAAAATTAAGATTCTTATGCTATGCAAAGCAAATCTGTTCTAGTAAGTTTTCTAATGAAACAATACTCTAATGCAAGAAATATATTTTCCTGCCGCTTCAGGAAGCATATTATTCAATCTGTTGAACTGAGCTTTGATTACTTTCACTAAAAAGTGTTGATATGTGGATGTGCTTTTCATTGTTATAATTTTGAGTCTCCTTTTGAATTCAGAAACCTGATGCCTTGACCACAGGAGCAGGAATCCCAGTGGGAGACAAGCTAAATGTCATGACGGTGGGCCCACGAGGCCCTCTCTTGGTCCAGGATGTGGTTTTCACTGATGAGATGGCACACTTTGACCGAGAAAGGATTCCTGAAAGGGTTGTGCATGCCAAAGGAGGAGGTTAGTTTTACTGGTTGTATAATATTTTTCCTTTAAAAACTGGAGAATTGGAAACAAAAACAAAGCAAACAGACGCTTCATAGAATTTCTTGGATCAAATGATGTATCTCCCAGCCTGTTTTCCTTTCTAGTATAACATTGCAGAATTACCTTACAGAAATCATGAAATACTGTACTGATTTTGCAGTGTCTTAATCCTGTCATATTTTCCTAGTCAATAATAAACATATTTTAGTGGACAGGGTTAACTTTACTCATATGTTTTTCCTTAAATGATATAAAAGACAAAACAAAAAATGAATGCAGCCAGCATCAATAGCAGTTTCCTTCTTGTCTGTTGCTTCTCTCTGAATTTAATATCAGTTCATGGTTGACAATGCTTCTTTTAATATGTAATTCAGGATTTATTTTTTTAAAACCCTGCATAGTACATCTTTGTATCTTTGAAAGTCAATCCCTGTCACAGAAGCATGCATGAGTTGCCCTTGCTGAATCTCGGGGAGTGAGGAGCGATGGAATTTTAGGAATTTTAGGAAAAACTAGGAATTTTAAAAAATTGCTCAGTTCAGTGGGGCCATGTGTCAGTTAAGACTTTCAGATAAAGAGGGAAATGTTAAAAGCATATGGATATGCTGTTTGCAGGGATGATGGTTACCACCCATTGAGTAAGTGTAACCCTTTAGGCTAGGATAAAGTAGGCATATGATTCAAGAGCACTTGTGGAAATTTAGATGTAATTATATTCTTATAACAGGGCCTCTTCTTTCCAAGTAATATTCAGTTGGCAGGCTCTTCTTTTGACTTGATTCATTATATGGTTGAAAGAAATCTTTCCAACTACAGAAGCGTCCTTAGGATCCCCATTAAAGTTTCCTAGAAGTACAGCTTGAGAAAACATATGCAAAAGTTAAAACAACTGCATAACTTGAACCCCAAGGTGAATGCTTTTGGAGGACTGTCACACCACTGTCTACAGTAGTCGCTGTAATGTACCTAACTATATGGATAATAAATGTTTATTCACAAAATTAGCTACTCCTGCTGCTGTATCTGAGACTATTAGCAAAACCCTTGGTCTTCTAACTGTTTCATTCTGTTTTTCAGTTTTAAAAATCAATAATCATTCTTAACTTTTCAGGAGCTTTTGGCTATTTTGAAGTTACTCATGATATCACCAAATATTGCAAAGCAACGATATTTGAACATATTGGGAAAAGAACTCCACTTGCTATTCGGTTTTCTACTGTCGGTAAGGTTTTTGCAAGCTTTATGCATGTCCTTTTTGTTAACTTCATCTATGAGAAATTAATTTCTAATGAGTACTTAGAGATATTCATTGGACTTTTTAATCTAATTAAGTGCATTTTCATTTGTTGTACTCTCCATTGATACTGAGCATGGATTATTAACATCTAGCCCCCTCAGTATGAATTTCTTCTATTCATTTTTATTTAATTTTTACAAAGTGTTATTCAATAGATATAAGTAGATTAGTATATCCATCCTCCTATTTGCCAGACTTTTCTGTGCCCTTTAATTTGCATCTGCTAATATTGTCTGCTAGGAAGTCAAATCTCTCAGAAAGATCCACACAGAAATCAGGTTTTGCTTTAGAATTATTGTTATTGTTGTTGTTGCATTTCTATCCTGTCATTTTCCTTTTGTGAGGAACTCAAGCTGATTTACTAGTTCTCCATTCCAGTTTTATCCTCACAACAACAGCACTATGCACTATGCAGGGCTAACTACAGGCCCTGACTTGCATAGTATGTTAACATGGATGGAGTGGCCATATAATTACTGTGCTTCTTAGTTTGTAAATAGCAAAGAGAGAAATGTTTTACTTTTTTAAACTGTGAAATTTGTCAGATAAGTACATTCCATTGCCAAATTTCAACAGACCAATACAGAAAATGGTGTGTGTCTAGTGTTCTCTTTTTGAACACTCCTCTAGTATTCTGGAAAAGGGAGTACATATGTGTGATCTTTGGAGCTAGTTTTTGAATTAAGGTTTGCTAAAACAGTGTTTATTGGGTGGAAGCTGGCGTGGGGGGAAGTTTTCACATCAAATGGCTTTCTGAATGTTATGTTTTATATCACTGTGTTATCAACATGGTTATACGAGATTTCCTTGGAACTTGAGTATTTCTTACTAACTTCCAAGCCTTAGAATGCACAGTGGTTTACATGGTATAAAACACTGTGCAAAAGAGAAATACGATACTGTTTATATATTGGTACAGTATACCATACTATAGCATATGGGTTGTGAGTCTGTGCAATTTACAGTGTTTTCCAATGGTAAACCTTTGTATTCCAGCTGGAGAATCAGGCTCAGCTGATACAGTTCGTGACCCTCGAGGCTTTGCAATAAAATTCTATACAGAGGATGGTAACTGGGACCTTGTGGGGAATAACACACCTATCTTCTTTATTAGAGATACCATGCTGGTAGGTTGGTTTGCAATGGATATTTATGTTTGCCAAAATAAATTTATGAGTGGTAGATACAAGGGGGAGTAAAGTACAAAGTACCGAATGCCAAATGTAAGTGCCAGAAAGAAAAAGACAGACAGACAGACAGACAGACAGAGGAACACCCTACAGGGAAGGTGAGCTGCTTAATTACCATCTGCCTGTCCCTTACCTTGTTTGTTGCCTGCTAGGTTCTAGGCAGTTGTTCCTGTTACTGGGAGAAACTTGGCATAGCCAGCAAAACTTCTGCCAATTTGTCTGAAAATGTGAGCCAGCTGCACATGACTCTGGGAAATGCCTTTATCTGCTGAGCCAGACCCTGCAGGAGCATGCCAAAGGGCATCAGGGGCAAGGCCACCTCACTAACCTCTTAGACAATGATTGTTGATTGTTCAATGAATGGCAGGGGATTACTTCTCTTTTTAGAGTCTGAGTGTATTCTTGGAAAGGAGAATATGATCCCAATGGAAGGACTTGGGGAGGCAGTCAGTGTAGTGATGAGTAGAGAGGTCTCATTAGGAGAAGGATTAGCCAGGTGAGGGGCATGTGACTTAGACAGTTAGTAGCTGTGTTGTGTTCTGGTCAACTCTGTACCTGAAGTTTCGGGGGTTCATTGTACCAGCCATAACAGCCTGCCCTCAGATCTCCAGGTGCAGCATTTATCTATCAATTTGCTCTCTGTATAGTCCAATAGCCAAAGCTCCCTGGGCATTCACAAAAATTCATACAATTATATAGCACAAATACAGATAATAATTTGTGATAATTTTTGGGTGTGCTTGAGATTTAGTTTAATAAAGCAGTTTCTCATATTTTCATATCAAGTTTATAAACACAGCTGTAAGCAGGAATATAATACTCAGTCTTCACAGCTCCACTGATGATAGTCCAAAAATGTTTAGTACTTGTTCCTTCAGTTGCTTTTTACCTTCGATATTGATGATTCTGTAATTGCCACAATAGATTTAAAGCTATTAACTGATGAATTACACATAGATATTTTCAAAGTGAATGCAGTGCAAGTGCTTTGGAACAAATAAAAAAAATCTAACTACAATTACTGTAGCTCTTCCTTTGTATTTTGTTTGTATTAGTTTCCATCTTTTATCCATACCCAAAAAAGGAACCCTCAGACTCATCTGAAGGATCCAGATATGGTATGGGACTTCTGGAGTCTTCGTCCTGAGTCTCTGCACCAGGTGGGATTTATAATCCAGTGAATGTTTCAGCAGAAAAAAAAATCTTCTATTTCCAGCATGCCACAGTGAAAGCAAGTTTTTTCAAAGTTTGCTTAAACATGTAAAATGGAAGAGATGTATGTGTTCATGATTTCTTCAGGCATAGAGTTCTGTAATCTGGGTTGCTTATGTTAGGTAACTATGGTGGAACTCACATGCTCTTCTGAAAGAAAACAAAAACTAGTTAATGGGAATACAGGTTTTGCCAGACAGTAAGATAGGTTTCTACTTGTATTGTACTGTTTCTATTACCTGATGAACTCTACTGAAATTGTATCTCCACAGTGGAATATATCTCCTTTTTGAGGTGCCGCAAGTCTCATAACTAGCATAATGAGACTAGCAGAATTCTTCCTTAAATACAGTAAGAATTGCAGAATACGAATTGCTGAATTCTTCTTTAAATAAAATCCAGACATCTGTGAATAAATCATTGCACATATTCTAGATATCTCCTTTGTCCTTCTAATGTGCGTTTATTATATACAAATACTTGGGGAAGGTCATTATTGCTATTGATGTTACCTTGAAAATGTACATAATTCTAGAAGTCTCAAAGACAGCTAAGGGGTATTACTTACAATAGGATGAGTGTTATATGCAGCATAACTCTTTCCATTCCTCCTAAGAGCACACCATTGTGTAAACTGATGGAACTTTCCCCCATCCTCCAGTTTTGGTGCAATGTGGATGGGACTCATTCCATTGATGGGTGGAACCCAACAACAAATGGATTGGGCCAATGTACATACACAGACACATTTTCCCCCTCTTTCCCTCACACACACACACAAGAAAAGCTGTGCTGGACCAGGCCAGCAGTCCATCTCATCCAGCATTCTGTTCATGCACTAGCAAATCAGCTGCCCACAGAACCCCCAACCAGGGTGGATACAAGAGTTCTGCCTGCTGAAGCTCCTCAGCAGCTGGTGTATATGACCATGCACACCATTTGCAGTTATTTGGAGATCTTTCTGTGTATCAGATCACACTTTGCTGGGCAGTGAAAGAGGGAGCCTAGCCCATCACTACAGAGCCTTAAACCCCTTCTTCCTTACTGCTGCTGCTTTTCTTGTTCTTCTGAGGGAGCAAGGCTCCAGGGAAGGGAGGGGCTTTGTCCAAGACTCAGCAGGATATAAGAGGCGGCCTCATGAGACACAGTCATCCTCCAGGTCAGATGTTTCCCATCACCAATATAAATTCTTTGCCTGCCTTTACCAAAAAAAGCTCTCAAGAGATCTTGCAATCACTATTAAAAACAATAAGTAAATATATTGAAAACACAACAAAAGAGTAAAACAAGCATCGAGCTCAAATGACCCAGTTACCCACCAAAGGCCTGCAGCATTCTTGGACCCCTTGAAGTTATTGAACAGTTTTTGAAGGCAGCTCCACATAATTACAGTAGTTTGCACAGGAAGTCACTAAGGCATGTGTGCCCATGGCCAGATCAGACATCTAATTCTTATGAGTTAGAATTTGTGCAGTTGGCCGTTGCGAATCCCAATTGTTGAGAACATGCCTGGATCCATTTAAGCAATTGGTTGGAAGCCTTATGTTCTATGTATGTCATAACACTTAATGAGAGTGTATGGAAAGGAAGCAAGGCTTTCTTTCCTGTTGCACAGCTGTTCAGCCTCTTCGAATTATGTGAAAATGGAATATTGCACTATTGGCATGGGATGAGTGCCCCTGGGAATATTGTGCTAAGAATGAAATGTGGTTGGAACATTGTGTAGAAAAAAATCCTAGACCACCATACAGAAGTATCCCATTTTATTTACCCCCATTTTCATAAACAATAGCTAATGTTGATTTTTTTTATGTTTAGGTGTCGTTTCTTTTCAGTGATCGTGGCATTCCTGATGGATTCCGTCATATGAATGGCTATGGATCACATACATTTAAGCTGGTAAATGCTAGTGGAAAAGCAGTGTACTGCAAATTTCATGCTAAGGTAATCAATCTATTTTTTCCCTGTTTAACTAGCTTTTATATGGCGATCCTACCTTAAATCAGAGTTACTGATTAATCAAAGTGTTGCTTGCTTACTTGGTTTGAAAATATGGTGTTGCATTCCTACCCTTGTAAGGCTTTTCACATGCTGCTGCTTTGCTGGCTGTCTGGAAGCTTTATACAACGATCATTTGGATGCCGTCAGTTATTTTGTATGTCGATACAATATAGTGAGCCATCCTGAGATTGTGAGCCGTCCTGAGATGCCATGCATAAAGGACGGCATACAAAAGTTTTAAACAAACAAACTACTATCCCAAAGGCTTAAAGCTGGGCCTATGCCACGCAACCTCATTTTATCACTGCCATCCATCTTTTAGTAACATGGAATGTGCTTGTAGGAATGACTTGAAGGTTCATATAATGTGACAAACCATGACAAGAAAGGTTGCTTGTCATGTTCTGCAAACCCAGTTGCAGTGACTGAACGTTGTGCCTTATCCTGGTTGTCATCCACAATACAACACAATGGTCTGTTCTAGAGTTCTACCCTACCACAATTGCTTGTTGTGTCATCCAAAATTAGTGATTTTTCTTTATTTTTGCCTTTGGAAGACTTGTGCTTCATGTTTTTATTTAAGTTGCTTAAGGCAGCAAGCCTGTTACACATTGCTTCTCATGATTTTAAAAAAGGTTGCGCACTTAAGTAATGGAAAAAGTCACTTATGGAATTCTTATCCAATCATATTTCAAAAGAAGGAAAAGTTGCAAGTACCAACATAATCACTTGTAGCTTGGCTAAACTCCTCTTCATTATGTGGGATGGGATACTGTGCTTTGTATATTGGTTTGGGCATGGGTGGAATATAACATTTTCACTGCTGGATGTAGGCTTGTTTCTAATATAGCAGTCTTGCCTATAACTGATCTTTAGACTGAGGTCTGTTTCTGAATTGCTGTTGCTGCTTCAGGACATGCATTGAGAATTTAGTATTTCTTCCTTTAGCAGTTGTTTGTGTCCAGTTTTTAAAATTAAGCGTTCTAACACATGTATTCCAATATTTGCAGACTGATCAGGGAATAAAAAACCTTTCTGTTGAAGAAGCTGGAAGACTGGCCTCTGAAGACCCTGACTATGCCCTGCGTGATCTTTATAATGCTATTGCAAATGGAAACTATCCATCTTGGAGTTTCTATATTCAGGTTATGACATTTGAACAAGCTGAGAAATTTCCATTCAATCCTTTTGATGTAACTAAGGTAAGTATATTTTGTATACTTTGCTCTTGCATATCACTTATAGCAAATAGAAGTTGTGCATATATTTCATGAAGTGAAGAATTCTAGATTTATTCCATATTTTACCTATTCTTGACTAGTATATTACATGTCTGTGTCCTGCAAATTCAGAAGGGTGGTTTGAAAGATGGCAGTTATAAAATGTTTGTTATGATTTCTAGGTTTGGCCTCACAAAGATTATCCTCTCATCCCTGTGGGAAAACTTACCTTGAGCAGAAATCCTACCAATTATTTTGCTGAGATAGAACAAATTGCATTTGACCCAAGCAACATGCCTCCAGGGATTGAACCAAGCCCTGATAAAATGCTACAGGTAACCAGTATGAAATCATTATATTTCTTTCATAAAAATGTCATTTTTTGTACAAGATCTCTGGACTTTAATATAATAAGATAACAACACAACATAATCAGGATTATGGATTGGTGGGAATTTTTCTTCATTCCCCCATTTTTCTTTTTTATGTTGGTTTTCATTATTTTCTCCCTGCTCCCCATCCTACTCTGATGAGAATTTTAAATACTAAATATCCAAACAAATGGATTAAAAGAAGGATGATCATTATTGGGAATCTCATCACCTGCAAAGCTTGGCATATAATAAGGGCAGGTACTTGGGAATTGTGAGAGCTGGATCATAAGGAAGGCTGAGCACCGAAGAACTGACACTCTTGAATTGTGAGAGTCCTTTGGACTGCAAAGAAATCAAATCAGTCAATTCTAAAGGAAATCAACCCTGACTGCTCTTTAGAAGGTCAGGTACTAAAGCTGAAACTCAAATACTTTGGCCACCTAATGAGGAGAAAGGATTCATTGGAAATGACCCTGATACTGGGAACGATTGAAGGCAAAAGGAGAAGGGAACAGCAGAGGTTGAGGTGGCTGGATGGGGTCACTGGAGAGGTGGGTGTGGGGTTTCATGTATTCTGGGGGATGGTGGAGGACAGGAGAACCTGGAGGAATGTTGTCCATGAGGTTTGAAGAGTTGAGCATGACTTTGGACTGAACAACAACTTGAAAATCACAAGACACCATTAAAGATATGTTTAAGAGTAAGGTTTATAGGTTTGTTACATATTTTATATATGTATAATTAACATTTTGGATATGGGGTCGTATAAAAAGATGTAACTAGCATTATTGCTTTTTCTGCAATTAATATTGTAAGATAGGAAGGAATTTTGAAGGCTTATTTAATAATGATTGTGTATTGTTAGTTATGGTCCAACAATAAAAATGTTTGATAATATATGCAGTGCTAAATGGAAAAACTATTATTTCAGCTCACCCAGTGTAGTAAATTTGAAACATCTTCATAGTTTAACAATTATAGGTGGAGTTCCTTTGCATGCATGTCATATATTTTAGGCTTAATTGTCTAAAGCTAGCTAGTGTTTTCATCACATAAAAAATATGCTACCAGAATGTTCTAATCCTTTGTTCAGTAATATTGAATTGTTACTCATAGTTCCTGCCTCTTCTTTTCTTAAACAGAACAGCCGTGTTTATCGATTATCACTTCAAACATGAAACTTAAGCTGAGAACATTAAAAAACCTCAAAGATTTTGTGTAAAATTGTGTTTATGAAGGCAGTAGCTGGAAAAAATACATCGTTAGCTCATGGCAACACATGATTGTGTTGTGGAAGTTTGTTGTTGGCAATAATAACAACTTCTGCAGTATAGCATTTAATTAAAAAAAAGAATGTAACTAAATAACAGGTCATACATTATTTAAGTAAGAAGCGGACCTAATCATACCTAAGACGTAAAATCCATATGTTTGATAATTATACAGTTGTCCACAGCATAAAACAAGAGCATTGTGTTTAGGTATGCTGATATGTCCTCACTGTTCCTTTGAGACCATAATTCTTCTCCCCTCTGTAGATGTTAGGATCAGGAGCAGGTTAAAAAGAATGAATGATGCCAACATTAAAAATCTTCAGGGAAGAAAGCAGGGAGCAGCAGTCTGAAACCAGCTCAAAGAAAACCTACCCACTGTCACACATGTCTTACTATTTCATTATTTTAGGGTCGTCTTTTTGCCTATCCGGATACCCATAGACATCGTTTGGGACCCAACTATCTTCAGATTCCTGTAAACTGTCCATACCGAACTCGGGTGGCCAACTACCAGAGAGATGGGTTTATGTGCCTGAGTGACAACCAAGGTAGTTGGGGAATTCCATGTGGAATAATTTTTTTAAGTATTACACAGCAACATCAGCAAAAGCAATTTCCTCATCTGCACTTGCAACACAGTTTGAGTATTTCAAATATTTGATGTGATCATGTACTGCTTTAGCATCTCTCTCTCTCTCTCTCTCTCTCTCTCTCTCTCTCTCTCTCTCTCTCTGTCTCTCTGTCTCTCTGTCTCTCTGTCTCTCTGTCTCTCTGTCTCTTTCTCTTTAGAAAAGTGGTTCTTTAGCCATATTCTGTTTTATCAGAAAGTGCATTACCACTTTAATAAAGAAGCAGAAAAATAATACATTGTTCCAAGATTATGCTCCACAGTCATTTTGGTCTTAAACATGTATGAGAACTGCAAAAACACACGCATCTAAGTGTGATTATATTGCTTCAAGAACGTATATAAAATAAATTTTGGTACTCAACCATAAGCTGATAATATGCAAATAGCTGATAGTTCTTGAAGATTAATGAACTTGATATGAAAGAGTTTCAACAGTACCAGGCTGTCAAGATCCTTTCATTTTGGAAACTGGAACCAAGTGAGGATAATAGGCATGGAATGAGGGAATGTGGCTTCCTTTCTCTTCAGAGTAATTATTGCAGTAAAGCACTGCCATTTTTACAGAAGTATTTCAGAGCTCTCTTAAAATTATTTTCTCTTTGTGTCCCAGTCATAATACATAGTAGCAAAATACTATTTTTTGTAGGTGGTGCCCCAAATTATTATCCAAACAGTTTTACTGGCCCAGAAGATCAGCCTGATTTAAAGGAGACCCGCAGTTATATTTCGGGTGATGTGCAGCGCTTCAACAGTGCAAATGAGGATAATGTGTCTCAAGTAAGCAGAGCAGAAATGTTCAGTTGCCTTACATTGGCCATGGGGATACACGTATGAGCGTCTTCAAACTGTATGAACTGACCATTCGCCTTCCCTTGGAACATCTCTCAAATGCCTGCCTTGAAATCATTTTTGATTTATTCTGCCTTGAAGTAACTTTGCGGGGTTTTTCCTGTGCCATCTGTGCCATCAGCCTTTCATCATCCTATCTAGCTGCAGAATTTCTTGGTTTCCACTGCTGGTGAATCCATGGACAGCTCGCATATAATAGTATACTCATATATTGAGGTACACTGGCCCCCAGAGACATCCTAAATACTACTTAGTGGTAGGCAATCTTTCTGGCCACAAGACTTACCCATATGATTATTAAATCATATGTTTTAAATGAGATACTTCCCCCCTTTACCAGAAATAACTGCAAGAGTACCCAAGTCCCCCATGCAAAAATAGCTTCTTCCCAAATATTTGCCCAGAGGCCTTGGAGATGCTTTTGCCAAAGAAAAGAAGTGGCTACTTGTAGGCATGCACTTTAAAGCATTTTACCTTTTTTAGAGCGGCAGTACAGGAAGGCAGTACAGGAACTCTCTTGGGATAAGTCAAATGCTCATCCCTTTAGCTCCCTTTGTTGTTGCCTGATGTTAGAGTCACTATCAAGAACATTTTGTCTTTGAATATACAAGCTTTTGTTCTTAATTTCAAAATTTTCTAACTTGCCAAGTGAATGGAATATATCTATAATGAGGAGAAATGTGTTTTCAACATTTATTAAAAGGTGCGAGACTTTTATACCAAAGTACTGAAGGAGGAAGAACGTGAGAGGCTCTGTGAAAACATTGCTAGCCATCTTAAGGATGCTCAACTTTTCATTCAGAAGAAAGCGGTAAGTGTTAAATTACCGCATTAAGTTGATGTATGATCTCTGCTTTGCATGTAACAACTATTTCAGTAAAATTTTTAGAAGATAAGGATGTGCAAAATCATCTTAGGATGCATTAAACAAGGATATACTATAATAAAAAGGATTTTAGAAAGCAAAAGATATTAAGAATATGAAGTTTCATGCTTTTAAAAATTGCCTATGTTGTGGAAAGTTTCATTTGCAGCAGTATAACTAATAAACATCTTCTGTATATTGAAATAATATATATTGGGTCAGGATGCTTCCTTTCCTGCAAAGAAACATGAGAATGGTTGGCATTTTGATGTGTGACAGTATACGAAGTACATCTGTTAATTCTAGTAGCTTAATTGCAGAGGGTATAGTCCCATGCACTTGGCACTCAATACACTTAAGCTTCCAGGCCCAGAGACTTAAGTACATCTAAAGCATGGCATCCGGGGTGGGGTGGTGATCGCCACACACAGCCCTGTAGCTCATGCGCTGCACTTCAGACTGTCTAGACGAAGTGGCATGGAAGGAGAGGGAATGAAGGCTAAGGAAGGTCGACTGGGGCGCTATTTGGATATGGTGCAAGCTGTCATTTCCAGTCCCTCTGCCCTTCCTACCTTGCCTGGGGGCCATGGAATTGCACCCAGAATCTTACTGTGTTTGAACACCATAGCTTCAGTCGTACTTGATTTAAACTGAAATCCTAAATGCTCTCACTAGAGTCTGAGGCCCATCAAACACAATGGGACCTTGGTTTAAACCTCTTCTGCTAAACATATAAAAGCTTATGGTTCATTCAGCTTCAGTGGAATTTAAATGTACTTAATAATGCAGGTACTTCAAATAGGAGGCAAACTCCTGGAACCTAATTTTTATAAGGCAATGTTTAGTTTTTTCAGGTATGATCTGGATATAGTTAGGACCAACATTGTTCCATTAAATACCATAGAAAGCCTCTGAAACCATATTTTTCATGCAAAAGTAACTTTCCATTTTGCAGTCTCACAGAAAACTGGAAGCCTAAATTGGGAAAACTGGAAAACTTGCATTAATTCATGTCTACATAGTAGTAGAAGGGAATGTGGGTGGACTGAATTTGCTGAAGTTTCAGACCTCCACATCAATACCAAATAGCATTTTTATAAATGATTTTGAGTTGATAGAAGAGCTAGGAATGAAGAAACAATAATTATTTGTTTTTACTTATTTTGCCGCTAGGTGAAAAACTTTACTGATGTTCACCCTGAGTATGGTGCACGCATTCAAGCCCACTTGGACAGATACAATGCTAAAGGTGGCAACAAGGTAGGAAAGCAATTTCAATTTCAGTTCATAGAAATCAAAAATAAAGGTGGACAATATGAAATAAGGATCTTGGATAGGTGGGTGTTTCAGAGAGAAAGAACTTAAAAAGGAAAATTGCTCAGTCCTTGTCAAATATAACAGTTCCAATGTATGGGAGGTAGAGCCCTCTTTGACTTTGCCTAGGTCTACCAATTCACACCCCATCTTCTTTACAAACAGAGACTGAGTTGGTTTGCATGACAAGATAGGCCATTTGGCCACAGTGGTTGGTGTGTTATGCTCTCCCCTGGCCATGGCTTGTCATATCATATGACTCCAGTTGGCAGGGGATATTTAAGACAACCCTGGTTCTTTTAGACAACCTTGAGTTTGCCCAACATGGCAAGCTTGGTTGTCTGTCGTGACATGGCAGCCCTTGTGTTAATTAAGCCATTGTGGGTTGATGTTTTGTGTCAACCAGACCATTGTAGGGGTTTACAGGCACTTACAGTCCCAATTATAAATGGCAGTTTGTTGGAACCAATTAAACTCTTCACCAGAGTGGACTGTCAGTGGGTGCATATAGCTGCCCAAATAGCTGTAACCAAATACCTGATGTTGTGGGCATTTGTAAATACTCACAATGGTGGCCTGTAAAGCGGTTAAAACAAAGACCAGGAGAATCCCCTCAGGGGACTATCTTAGGCCGTCTAGATCCAACTCTTGTTTGGAATTATTTGTTTTTGACAAGTCCCCAAGAAATGACTGCAAATCGCACACCAAAGAAATAATATTTTTGGAATGGAGGATAGGAGGACTGGAAAGGAGGGTGGACTGGATGCGAAATGGGCAGCTCGCGTTATCAAGTTGAACTCTTGAGTCAAGCGGTCAGGAAATCTTGCTACATTTGGGGCAGAGCACCCACTAACCACGCAGCCCAAGAAAGAGTTCTTCCACTGTGCACTTTCATAGTCTTTTTGCATCTAGGACTGCACAGAATTGTGTGGTGTTGGGTAAGATTCTGCTTTGAATGGGTTGTTACTTAGCTTTTAAGAAAAACATTAGAAAGTCTTGAAAACTTAACTTCATTATCTTAAAACATTAGAAAATTCTTTTTTACTAATTACTGCAAATAATGTATTTGAGAAAAAGTTTCCTTGGAAAATTCCTTGTTAAAAATATAGGAATTTGAATACCTTTCAGACTTACTCTTAAAATGCACATTATTTCTATTTTTAATTATTTTGTCTTGTTTCTAGGATTGTGTGCGTAGCTATACACAAACTTCAGGCCATCTTATTGGACAGGAAAGATCAAATTTGTAAATCCTTTGATCTTTGATTACCAGTCCCACTGGTAATACCTTTATGACACCGAATTTACATCCGTCCAACTGGAAAATAAGCTGTGGAAGGCCTTAACAAATATGAAAGCTTTCTGTGTTTTACTGAAACTTCTTTTATACTGGCAACTGTAATGCAAAAAAAAAAAAAAAAATCAAATCTGCATTTGAATTTGTGATTAAAAATTAATTGAATAATAGCCTGATGACTTGTAATGCTATCTGTCTGCACTTGTAAAGCTGCATCTATGCTGACAATAACTTTTAAGTGATATCTCTGATGTCCATGACTTTTCCTTGTATTTGCAAATTAATCAAAACTTTGATTTGCTTTACTGTTTTATTCTTCTCCCTCAGAGGAGGGCAAATGTGAACTTTCCGATGTTTTGCCTAACATACCTCATCACCCATAGCTGTTGGTAAGGGATGATGAAAGTTGTAGACTAAAACAGCTAGAGAACCAAAAGTCAGCTACTGCTTTTACAACCTTGCATTTATTTACCCAACAATTATCTAATGTTACAGATATCTCTTAAATTTTACTAGCAGTGCAAAGCTCTGTATGTCAGTAGTAAGTTAGATCCTTATTTTACATGTATTAATATTAAATAATAGCAATTTCTTTAAAATACTCATACCTACTATGCAATTCTTTTGATTAAAAACCATATTGTTTGAGTTAATTTGTCATGCTTTTAAAAATCATTGATACAATTCCTCTTGGATGAAAAAATACACATAAGTGCAAATCTTACCTTGTACTGGTGCTAAAATGCATGTTTTCTTTGAGACAGGATGAATTTCAACTATGTATTTCAAAGAGTGGATTTGAAAATTTATATTGGATTATACTGACAATACTTAATCTAAAGTTAAATTCTACAATAAATTACACTAAATTACTACATGTTTGTGTCTCTCCTGTTTTAATTTAGTTTTTAAAACCCTTTCTGTATAACATGTTTAAGGGCTTTCCTTGTTCACTTCAGGTCCAAAATGCCTAGTGAATTGCATCCAATAAAGGGCTAACCTAAAGATAGGTTGTTTCAGCAATATGGAATCCTGTGCTGTGATTACTTCCAGCTTTACTGCTTCTACAGCTTTACTGTTTGTTACCATGGTGCTGGATGGCCCAGGCTGATGTGTATTGAGTCTGGGCAACAGAAGCTAACCTGCAAATGAAGTTATTATCCACCTTACAAGTACCAATGAGACAACCAATTGTTGTTGTTAGTCATGAAGTTGTCCATCACTACCCCATTCCTCCAGGCTGTCCTGTCCTCTACCATCCCCCAGAGTCCACTCAAGCTCACACCAACCGCTTCAGTGACTTCATCCAGCCACCTCATCCTCTGCCGTCCCCTTCTTCTTTTGCTATCAATTGTTCCCAGCATTAGGGTCTTCTCCAGTGAGTCCTTCTCATTAGGTGGCCAAAGTATTTGAGTTTCATCTTCAGGATCTGGCCTTCTAAAGAGCAGCCAGGGTTGATCTCCTCTAAGACAACAATACCATCCACATAAGAAGTAGGCCCTGACATAGTCCCAATCATACACAATACCACACAGTCAACATACCCATTTTAATTCTATTTAAATTTTTTCATCTTTTGAGTATTGGTTTCTCAGACAAAAGCATACATACCCTGTATTTTTATGCTGTCTTTGAAGTAGGCATAAAGTTGTATTTTACCAGCTGTGTAGCATTTGCGCTTTACCCATACACAAAAACCAGTGAAACACACTTTAATACGAGATTTCCTGCTTTCAAGTATCCATACCTAGAAGGTAGCATAATTAACTGAAGAACGAGGTTTGTAACGGCACACTCCATAGAAGCTGACATGAGGAGGAAGGCCTTTTGTATCTCCCAGCTCATAACCTTCTTAACTAGATAAGGAACACGCCACATAAATAAGGATACAGGAGTTCTAGGTAGAACAGTAATCCATGATTGTCGCTGCTGTTATTATTAATTTTGTTTTTGTATCACCTAATAGCTGATGCCCCGTTTCATTTATGACAGCACATAATATACTAATATGTGCTATACAGATAAGTACTGGAAAGTGTTTCCACAACACAGGTATGGCTTGTCCAGTCATACATCAGAGTCCAGCACCCCTGATGAAGTCCGGTACATTCAGTTTCCATGAAACCACACAGGCACAGTGGTCTGTTCGAAGGTTTCCACGCTTTCACCATGGCTTGTCATGACGTGTGGCCCAAGTTGCTGTGCTTTTTTTTGTGTGGTGCCTGCAATTCTGCCAGCGAGTTAGGTGGCAGGAGTAGCTGTGGCTGCTGTAGACGCTTGGGCCTGCATTTTGCAGTTCTGCCTAGTAGCCGCTGAGTTGCTGGCAGCAGCATGGTGATTGGCCGCCTCCATGCTCCCCTTCTTCCCTGCCCAGTGCTGGAGAGGTTCCTTGAAGTGGCTCTGTGTTTGTGGCCCTCTGGGAGCCAGTGGTCTCCTCAAGTGGAGGCTGCCTGCATGCATACAGCACAGGAGCAGCGCATGAAACTTCAACAACAGGGTATTGAGCATCTGAAGAAGCCCGTGACTCCTGCTCTGCCTCATGCTCTCTGGCCCACTTTTGTCTTGTCCCCAGCAATCCTCAGGGCTCCTCATAGCCCTGCTGCCCGCCTCCCCACAGCTGTGGGACTAATAGTGTCCTCACAGCCTGCTGGTCAACTTTCCTGGGCACTTGCCCAGATGAGCACCCCAGGAAAGTCTGCCTGGCAGGATGCACTCCTGTCCTCAGCACAGGGGCCTGCAGTGGTGCCCTCCCTGAGTCTGGCTGTGGGTAGGGAAGCCTCTGGCAGTGTGCAGAGGGAAGGGTGGACATGCATAAAGGGAGGGAGAGGTGGGCACAGGTGTGCTTGAATATTGGCATGGCATGTGGCAGCTGCAGGGAGCCCTCCCGCAATGCTACACTGGAGCAACAGCACTACTCTAGCAAGTAGGCAGTTGCTTCCTCAGCTGGCTGAGAGAATATGGACCAATGAGGGAGAGGCAGGCGACACAGGCATGAGCAATGCACCCTGGGATTGATTTTCAGCTGCAGGGGCTGATGGGATTCATGCCACCGTTTGGAGCGAAGATGGAGAAGCATGGAAACCAGGTGCCTGTCTGAACCCGGGGAACAAGGTGAGATACTGTGGATTGCGTTACCGCATGGGATGGCTTGCTGTCATTTGTGAACACACCCAGTATGTCCCTCTGCTTGGGGCTCTGACCAAAATGACCCAGGGAGCGTGGTCATTTTGTTTATTTCCCCATAAAGTGACTATGAGTTGTGACTCCTCTTTATTTATGTTCTAGCATTGCTAACTTCAAAATGTTCTATTTAAAAAGATACATTATAGCCCAGGAGAAGTAGGGAGTTTTGGAAGGGTCAAAAACTTCTTTTGAGAAGCTAGTAAACTTTTGAGAAGCTACTAAGACGAAAATTCAGAAATCTGAGACCCTGCATGTTTTACACACATTTATCTGGGCACGGCTCCATTCTGTTCTTTTCATGAAAGCTGCATCGTGACTGTACTCACTTTCAGTACTCACACACTGTGGGGGATAGGCCCTTTAAACTTTTTGTGCATGATGTTGCGGATGCCAGAGGGATCTGGAGAAAGGGGCCAAGGCTCTGGGAGGATGCTGGGGCTCTGGAACTCGGAGATATCCAGAGGGTCCAAGGGATGGGCTCTAGGGGGCCTGAAAAGTGAGACAATGGACAATTCTAATTTGACAGAAGATATGCCCCCTATCCTCCTCTCTTGACCCCTGCAGTCTAACTCACCACCTGAGAATAGGCTCTGGAAAGTACCCCAGGCCTCCAGGACAGATTTTGAAAGCATGTGAGAGGCTGAAGGAGGTCTTGGCATGCTCACGGAGCTGCTTCTGTCAGCAGAATTACAACATGGATACAATCCATCTTAAACACTAGGCGATTTTAAAGTTCCCTTCTTTGGATGCCACACAGAAATGCAATTTAATAAATATGCCAATAGAAACCCTGTGTTTGACATATACTAGGTTAAAGGTTTTACTGAAAGAAAGTTCTGGGCTCTGCTTAGAAACTGTTGAAATAACAGTTTGTGCAACATTGCACGATGATCACACAGTTTAAAGTCCTTTACATGTTAGGCCCAGAGTTTTGAAATGGATCATGTTTGCCAGATAAGATAAGATAAGACATGGCAACAGTGTCTCAGCTTGCTATAGTAGCTGCAACAACAAAATTTTATTACAATGTTAACCAGCACTGTTGATAAATGGCATATTTACTGATGGTATATACATTGATAAATGGTATATTTTATTAGTCTGTCATGCACAGTGACTGGATGCACATGACATGGCAACACATCATGGGTGACTAACCAGGATGATTTCTCATATTGTGTGAATTTAAATGCTTTCCGCAGGGTGGCTTGCTTATGAGCAACCAGCCACCCTGATGATATGAGCAGGGCTCATTGTACTTGTGATGGGTCGCTGTGTTATTGTTACTGTGTCATGTGAACCTAGTTGTGGGTACAGGAAAGAGGAGAGAGAGCTGCTTGGCAAAAGAAGCACAAGCCCCTGCTAAGCTCACCCAAACCATTACCAGTGATGGCTGCTCCACCAAGGGATCACTGGCTCTGGCTCTCCTGCACCGCCTGTAGACTCCTTTGCGGTCACAGCAGCTTGTTTTCGTTATTTGCCCCTTTTCCCTGGAGATCACTTTGCATTATTTTTGAAGTAGCAGCCAGTGACAGCCCTTTCAAAGTGCTCAAGAGACACAGCAGAACAGCTGTCACTGTGTTTATTTATTTATTGTTAAATTTGTTGTGGTGGTTGTTCTTGGTCTGAAAAGGAGCTGCAAAGAGAGGGAGAGGGAGAGGGAGAGGGAGAGGGAGGGAGGGAGAATTGATAACACATTTCTGGACTAGCTGGAAACCTGGGGGAAATGTTGACAGGGTGGAGAAGGCTGCCAAAGTTTGGTTCAAGACTTAGAAGTAAGATTACATTGTCAAATGAGAGATAGTGGCTCCCCATTTTTGGTGTACTTACTGCATTTGTCTACCTGCACATTTTCTTACTTTCCCAAGTGGCTTGCTCCTTCTTAGTATTATTTCTCCCTGGGGAGGGGTTTTTTTTTTTTTTTTTGCACCTTTAGGCAAATTAGCAGATATTCAGTCTCGCCTTGTTAATTTTCTTGTATATTCCCTACCCTACTCCCTTTGATGACTGAAAGCTACAAGGAAGTTAACCAGAAAACACCACAAATAGCAGACAGCCAAATCTGTGCTCTTGTGAGTTTTAATCAAATGTAAATAAAACTCTGAAATGCTGAGGAAAGAAGAAGTGGCAACAAAATGACAGTCCTTTCAAAATGCTCTTTTGGCGTTAGTGGATGCACAGTGTCCCCTTGTAAGATTGCAAAAAAACAGAAGATGATCTTTTGCCTCTCCTGCCAAGCAGCTCTTTAGCCAGTTTGCACAAGCTTTAGTCTTGGGTTGAGAAGTCCTAACAAGCCCGCTTGAGCATAAGCTATTATAAACAACCTTTGTACAGGCCATGAGTTCTCATGATGGCTTGTGGGTGAAAAGTCACCTCAGCTGGAATGCCTGTGCTGGGACCAGATGCCACAGCAAGTCTCATAATATTAAGATGATTCATAAAACTACTGCTTATAGCAATGTGTGAACCCAGCCAAAGAGACACATTTTGGAATGGAAAGAGAGCAATCCCATGCAAAAGCACTGGTTACTCAATAGTCAGTACGTGTCAGAAACACGTACACTGTTTCTGATTCTGTGGACTGCCCCTCCTGGCAGTTATTAGTTGGGGAGTCAAGAAATAGTGGGTCACTATAGTTCAAGTCAATTTGCCCTTAGTTCAGTTTTAAAGGAGTTTATGATGAAGCTAAAATAG